AAAGGCAAAAATTCTTTTAGCTTTATTAGGGTTCTGCTCCAGTTAGAGTCAGTTTTACAAAGTTCAGGTTACTAACACAGCTCCTAAACAGCCTTAGTATTAAAAAAGTAAAACAAAATAAAAAAATAAAAATATAAATAAAGTACAACTATACATCAAAAAGCTTTCAAAGAACAAACTAAACTCTTGAGACTGAGTTCATTCACTGTGCAATTATGTTGTTTCCTGCACTGTGATGCCAGGCATAAATTTGACCGCAGGGTTTTAAAAGATAGATTATATGCAATTTTATTTTAATTCATGGTGGACAGAAGAAAAAGGTATTTTCTTTCATAAGGATGATTCAAAGAGCAGTAGTTTGCAGGGCTGCATTTTGATATTTATTTTCAAAAATGATGTATCTCTGGCCAGTTAAAGGCAGGGAGGGGAGGGCAGATATTATTCTTCAGAAGAATAATGGATTAATAAAACAGCCACTTAAAAAAAAGTCCTTGTTTGTGTCAAGTGATAGGAACAACCATAATTAATGAAAATAATTTATAAACGCAGCTGGATAAAGATGTTCCTGCTGTGTAGTTGATGTGGTAGTTTATTCATTACTGGCACTGAAACACACGCTGTGCCTCTTTGTCTTTACACCAACTCCTTTGAGCGTGTGAAACTTGACCCCCCAGCCTGTGTACCAAAGCTCTGCCATGCAGGACAATTCACTGGCACTGACCTGGCACGTAGCTGTAAGACAAGTGACCTGAGACAGAAATCAAACACAGCTGGTTCTTCCTGGGTGACCGGAGGCAAGGAATGCATTGGAAGTGATGTGAGAAAGCCCTGGGATGCCCTGAAATGGTCTGTAACAGTCCCTCCCTTTCTGGGAGCAATGAGGGGAGACAGAAGCAACTGAGAGGGAAAGAGTATATTACATTAGTCCAAAAGATCTGGCTTCTTCTGTCACTTCAATGAAGGAGGCACTGAGAAAAATGTGGTAGGAATCAGGGAAATGTGAATAAGGGCTTTGGGTCTTTTAGTAGACTCAGCAGGAGCAAACTTTGCCACAACACCACAAAGCCCATAGCAAGTTTTTCATAGCAAATAACATGTTTTTCCCTCTCCCTTCTTCTATTCCACCCAATAATGTATTTCAGTTCAAACACCACATTCTGTTCTCATTTGAAAAAAAAAAATGAAAGTGCAGCACTGGCTTCAAATGACATCTACAAATGAAAAAGCTGGATTGAAATGTTTCAACTGAAAACCACAATGGGGCTTGGTAGCCTGGAAACCCTGGAAACTCCCAAGTGAATTATTATCCTTCATTGCTGACCACCATTAAAGAACATGACTGGGAGAAATGTCTAAATATTATCAGATGCATAGTGAAATCGTGATAGCTAACAGAAGAGTGTGCTTTGCAGCAGATGCAATTTTGCTATGGTTCTACATGACAGAAGCTGGCTCTTCAGTCCAAGCTCTACAGATGGGTTCGTTCAGCACTGGAAATCCCTTTTTAAGCAACACTTTATCAGGCAAGAGTACAATACAATACTGATGCAGAGAGAAAAGGTGATGGAGCTGGGGAATGTAACAGATTTCCATCTTTATCAAGTGACCAAAGGCCTATGCTGATCAATGAATCCCATCAATACAGTAATGTATTTTGAGCACAAGGGTCATTTGTCCTTTACAGAAGAAAATAATCTGGGCTTGAATGAGCTTCTTTAGCGCTTCCGGCTCATGATTTGATCTACTCTTAAAAGTTTTGCTAGCATTACTCAGCAAAAGAGGAGTATGAAAATAAATCACCCTTAAAACCAGAATATGGAGACTTAGTTCCTCAAAAACCAGATTTTACTCTCTACTGAAAGAGGAACAGTTTTACTAATGGAATTTGCATTTCCACTTCAGAAACATGCTGGTGTCAATGGGTATAGCTGTACTGGTAGATCATTGTAGATGTAAACAATCCCTATGAAACAAATTAAGAATTTAAGTACAGATCCTAAGAAGTTTAATAATATTTGCAAATTGATGTGAGATCTCCAAGTGAAAGGAATTCTTAAATGCTGCCAGATTGACAACTAAAAAAAGAATATTTGCTAATTCAGTTATTTGAAAAATCTTCCACTATTTTATTATGTCTAAAATAATCCATAATCTTCTAAAGACTCAGCATGCTGGATTCATAGAACAAAGCTGAAAAGCAGAGGAAGGAGAAATGTCAACAACACTCGGCATGGCCACTCCCCAGATTAGCTGCATATGCCTAGAAAAGGCATTTCCTCCGTACAGCCTGGATAGAAGTAATGCATCCTGGGATGTATGTCCCGAGGGCCTCTCAGCTTCCAGCACCCTGACATTCAATAGTACAAAACAGCATCATAACAATACTATATCTATTCCCCAATTAGTGTGCATACTGTAGATATTAATGGAAGATATATTTTAATTAACTAGTTTTTTTAGCTACTCAGAATGACTGAAACTCACTTTTCTCCACCAAGGACGTATATTGTGTTAAGTATAAATTAGCTATATTTTGAGCTCAGAAACTGTGCATAAGACTGTTGTCGTCCATATTTTTAAAAAAAAATTATGCCTGAAAGAGAATGAATAAATAATTGTCATCTCCTGAAAAATATAAAAGCAGAGGAGGAAACACATATGTGATTTGGAAACAGGATTACTCATAGATTCAGAAGTAATAAATCCAATTACCTTGCTTGATTCATCAATAAATGGGAAAGTATTATTTGTTTTATTATCAAATTAAGTTATTCTTTGGAAGTAATCCACTTAAAATAATTGTTTCCTAGCATCAAGGAAAAGTAATCAGTAAAAAGGAACATAAAATGTCTTTCTACTGCTTTCTGTAAAAGGCTTTTTCACATTTTTCTGAGCACAAGATAAGTCCATTATAAACAGTGGAAGAGAAATTCAAGGAATCCAGATAAGTAAATGCTGCTTTTATGACATCTTTTGCTCTAACTGCATGGCACAGTGATTTAAAAGCAGAAGTTCTCACACTCTAGATTTAGAATAAAATGGTCTTCTGGGAACTCTGCAATTCAGCTACTGTTGAATTTTCTGTCCTCAGTGAAGCAATGTTGGTGAAACCTTTGACTGCCAGGGCTGAAGTATTCCCAAAAGCATCTTCTGCTCACAGGACGTTACTCTCTGTGTGCAGAGTACAAAAATATTGCCAATACTGGTTCACCAATATTGGCACAACAAATACATGTTCACCTATCTCAGGAGTAATGACTTCAGCACAGACAGAGGGAGATGGAAAAACCTACAGCAAGCTATCTGTTGTGGCTAAAATACACTCCTGAATTTCTTGTCTTATGTGTGTGGAACTGGCAAATGTAATATAAGGAGCAAAAAAGAGAGAAAAATACTTAAAATCTTAACCTTTCTTTTTCTAAATCTCCTTTCTGCAAGGCAGCAATGTCCCCTACAGTCTTTGAACTCTCAAACAGTAAGTCGTCTAGAACACTCTCTCATGTTCAGAGTTTGGTATGCAAAAGAATAAAACATCCCTCTGCTTATTGAAAAGGAAATCATAAATCCCACCAATGCAGAAAAGGCTTTTATTTGTCATCAAAGAACTGATTCATCTCATGCAGAGTGAGATTCAAAACTTGGATTACAGAGATTATCTGGCAGTGACCAGAAGTTTTTGCATTCACTGTATTCTAGCAAGACTAAGTTTTTTGTCCATCTGCTAGGGAAGCCTTCACTGTGTTTCTTTGTGAAGAGGTGAATCAACTTGCATTGCCATGCTAGACACACCAGCACAGAGTTTAAGACAAAGCTGTGGCTCACTGATGATAAATTAATTTTTAAATGAAAAGTTTTCTCACTTTGTACAAGTCACAGTCTGGAGCAGCCTTCGGACAGTGTAAGCTCCAAGCAAATGGACAGTTGCAAACAATAAATAAAGGTATTGATTTATGGCAATGTCTGTGGAAAGCACCATGGTGTGAGAATCTGTTTCCATGACCCAGACACTCCTTTTTCCCCTGTATCCCATGCTCCTAAATTGCTGGGAGCCGCAGGGATGTACCAGACCACAGTTCTCCAATGAAAGCAGCCATTAACCCCTCAGAGATTCAGGCTGTTCAGCTCTCTACTCTTGCATATATTCAAGCTAGGACCTAGCATAGTAATGGACAAGCCACAGAATCCTTTGGAGTTAATTATTTCAGCTCAGCAATCTGTTTCTGAGTGTCACTAATATTAATGTGGAAGTTGTATGTTCTTGTCTAGGACTGTATTTTTAGCTGGCAGAGACCCATCTGAAGGCATAGTTGGCTGTCTAGGGTTGGAACAAAATGTCAAACCATCCAACATCTAAAAATATTAATGTAATTGCATGCTGAAAAGTGATAACTGAGTAAGTAAATACAAAAGGATGTCAGCTTCAAATTGTGAAATATGCTATTCTATTTTTTCTTGCAATTGGCATCAATCACTTTAATTTTTTAAGATTCAGTATCCAAGTGTTTTTTCATACAACAGTAAAATATTTCAGCTTAACTTTGAATACCTTATGAAATAATGCATCTGAATACTTAATCACAACAAAAAACCCAAACAAGCCAGCATCCTAACACATTGTAATATTTGTAAATATTTACATATTTTAAAATAATAATTGTATCTAAAAATACTAAGTTCAAAATCTCATTAAAAACTCAGGTGCTAGCATGGGGATTGGATTTGCCACTATAAACATTATAGGAACATTATAACTGCACATTCTGCTTCTGAGATAGTTTAATCCCACATTTCCTTTTAATGATACCCATTCTCAAATGAGATTCCTGTACTTTGAAATTTTAGGGAGCCTGAATTCAGAGGAGAACTCTTTAGATCAGAATAACCAATGATGTATCAGAACAAAAATCTAGGATAGTCAAAGGGAGGGAAAACCAACAGTGATTAAAATAAATGAACAAAGAACAAAACTCATAGTCATAAATTAAATCAAATACCTTTAGGCTCCTGTGAGGTCTGAAGCATATCATTACAGTCTAATTTCAGGGAGAAAAATCCGAAGAGGAATTCTGCAGTGATTCTAAATAAAATATACTGTGAGAACAAGGATTAACCACAGCGCACTACATAAAATATTAAGCTATTTTTGTCACCTGGATTCTATGATTCCATATTTTTCAGTTCCACTATAGGAGAATTTGTGATGTTTTTTCTCCTCTTCACTACACTTACATGATTTTTCACTGAGAATTCATTTCAATAACAGATCAGAAGCACCTCTGGCGTGTGTACACACACAAGACAGTATGAGCAAGAAGTAGTATTATCCCTTGCAAAATTCTAAATTCTGAAATCCTCCATTATTTCCTCAAATGAAGTCCACGGCTCTCACTCTTTAAGTTATGCTATGGACAGAACTCAGTGCTGAGGAGGGTACCAAAAAGAGACTGAATCTAGAGAGTGAGGACCTGGGTTCCTTAGCATTTGAGGGACAAAGCTTGATGCATCTCTGCTAAAGGAGCTGGGAGAGCTCTGTAGTCCTAAATCTTGTTATGTTACTCGCCTGCAGGGGAACTCCAAACTGAGTTCTGGAATACCCAGACTGCTCTGCAACTTTCCCACTCCTGACTTCCTCAAAAAAGGAAAATATAGTTGTGACTGAGGTGGGAACTACTGAATGTTTCAGTTTGTGTGCAGAGGGGGAAATCAAAGGACGAGAATCCAAACGTAGAGCCTCTGTGACAGGGCAGACATTGAACCAAATAATTAGAATTGCTTTGGGCAGAAAAATCTAGCCCTTTCCCACCTTATTTTTAAAATCTGAAATCCTCTAAAAAGGGATTATTAACCTAAAAAGGTTAATAATGTATTTACTAATATTTCCATTATTTGGACTTCTGCTAAGACACTCTTATTGAAGCCAAATCCCAACAGGGTGAGTGATCTTAGGGCTTCTCATCCCTAGCTTGTCATTTCACAGAACTGGGCAAACAGAGCAGCAATTAATCAAATATGGGATTTATGTTTGAAAGGAGAGAAATTATCAAGGCAGACTCAAAATGCATAAACATTTTTGTTAAACAGCAGTTTACAAAACCCTGGGTCATACACAGAGCAATGAGTTTTCCTGCCAAAGGTAAAGTTCTGGGTGCCTTCATCAGTTCAGACTTCATTATTATTTCCTAAGTACTTTGTGGGACAGAAAAAAAGCCTGCCGCCATTCTGTCTGAAGAAGGCCCCCCTACAAGGGTGGAACTCACGCCCAGAAGACATCAGAAACCTTAGAACCTCAGTGCTTTCAGAAACCCATGTGGAACTTGTCTTTTTTACTCTGTCTTTCCTCAGAAACTCACACAGAGCAATCTCATTTTTCCTACCAGCATGGAGAAAGCAGATAGTCACAGAGATCCCTTTCTGTCTGTGATGAACAGCTGCAGGTCCACAGATGTTGGGTTTCATTTGGTAGAGCTCACCATTGTGTCCTCTGTGTTAAAAGGTGCTGAGCTGGGGTTTGATGTGCTGTTGTTAAGTGGCATAGCTCCATTTGCACTTCTTGGAGGTCTGGACCGGTTTCTCTGTCTGGGTTTGTCCTTTTGCTAGCTGAGCTCAGTGAACTTAGGTTCGTACAGAGAGCACAGGCTTTGAAGTTATCTGAGGCAGGTGTCAATGTTATCATCAATAGCACTTCTGACACATGACTTCAGCTGGGATTTTAACTGCATTTTTGCCAATACACAATCCTTTAACTTCCTCTAACTTAGCATAATTGCATTACAGGAATTTCAAGGAGTTCTTTGAACCAAGGTACAATTAACATCCTTTCAAAGAACATTCCCACCCAGCATTTACCCTAGGTAAACTTCCTTTCTGAATAAACTCTCTGTTTAAGTGTAAATCAGTTTTTTCACTTGTGGAAACAGTTTCCAGTCTCTTCTCAAATACACTTTCACACCAAAACCAGTCTGCAAGGCTTTGCATGTTACAAGGTGCATTTTTAGCTAGAAAGCAGGTAAAGAAGTCAAAGATTATTAGAAAATAATCTTTGCCTCTAGATCACTCACCCAGGAATTCAAGAAAGAAAAGCTACAGACAATGGATTCCAAGGTAAAAAGATACCATTGGTCTTCCACTTTTAATCTAATTTTCAAATTGTCCTGAGAAATCCTTACTGCAAGCTTTGGTTGACTGGAAAACAAACAGCAGCTGTAGAAGACAGAGGAAAACAAATCTGAATTAAGCAAAAACAGGATTATCCTGTCTTCTGTCCACTGCTGAGCAAAGAGGAGACTTCAGCCTCCAGAGCTGTCATTTTAACACCTCTGTATAGCACTAAAATACGAGTTAAGAAAAATCCAAGGGTCTTAATCACTACACAGTGTCATTTAGGGTATCATCTGACATTAGCTAATCATGCACATCCTCTTCCCTTCCCTAAGTCAGACACTGCTACTGAATGGGAGAAGATAAGAACCCTGTTTTAAAAAGATTTTTTAAATGACAATGTTCAATTTTATCATTATTTTTAGGAAAGAAAAACCTTTATAAGCCTTTTAAATAACAATCCACAGCCTTGTGGTAACAGGCTGGCAAATGCAGGTGAGGGTACTGTGCTATAAGAAGCTTTGAAATGTCATAACAAATTCTCTCCTTTCCTTTGCATCTAACCATGCTGTGCTCAAGCCATGTAATTTCTAGAGGCAGCCCATTCATGTGCTGTGAACATTTATGAGTTTATACATCATATAGTATTTATTAGAATTTGGATAGAAACCCAACAGTTTTAATGGTGGAGTTGTATCACATTTTGCACACACCCAGAAGAGCTTGAACTACTGCCTCTATTTTTTTTCTCTTGGATTATCAAGGATTAACTTAATGATTTCTGTAGTTAAAAAAATCCTCATAAAAGGAAAGAGAAGGAGAGGAGAGCTCTCATCATATTTAAACAAAAGAAATCATTGCTAATAGCTAAGTAGATGTGATGAAAATATAATTTCCACAACTTAGATGTTCAGGTTGTTTTTTTCCTGAGCCAAATGTTCAGCCTTTAAATGTTTTTGCATTGGAGATCTAATAAGCTTCATCTCTTCTCAGAAATACCTGATGCTATGATTAAAATACAACCTCCTTCAACAAAGGTCTTTTAGTCAGGAAAACACTGTTCAGGGATAGCACATTGCCACTTATGGATCCCTCAAAACACCACTTACCTGTCAAACCAAGGTCACACATTTGTTCCTGGACTGCAAGGGAAGGTGGGTACCATTGGATAATACATATTCAGAGTTCAGGGCCTGGAATAAGAAATCTTAATGATCATTAACTTCTGAGTTTAGTGGCTTACACTACATATTGTGATATTTCTTGTTTGGGTCCAAAGCAATGAAAGTGCTTATAAAGTTCATCCTACATCTGGCAAATATGCAGTAGAGGAGATCTAAATCTGTGTTCCGGAACTAATTCTGTCAAAATGGAGTCAAAGGAGGATTTAGTCAAGTGGAGTTAATAAATTCACCAAGCCCTTATGATCACTATGGTCATGCTTTTTGAAAAGATCACAAATCTCAAAGACAGCTGCTCTCAAAAAAAAACAGAAAAAAAACAAATAAAGCGGAACAAGCTTAAGCTCCCAGAAACTTGTTTCTTGCTGTGCTAGTCCAGATTGTGTCTGGGGTGAGAAGATAAAAAGCACTGGATTCACACTGCTCCAAAATTGAAGGAGAGCAGGGGTGAATCAGGCCATTAAATTTGTAATCAGATCTGCTGATTGTCTGTAGTGCTTTTAGTTCTTCTCTGTTTTAAAACAACTGGAATTCTATTTCAAAAGAGAGCATATACCTCAAACAGGCTAGCAGTCCTGGAGAGCTGCTTGAAAAAGATAAATCCTCAGATTGTCAGATAATTTCTTAAAAATTTCTATTCAAATTATTCCATTACAAAATCCATGTCAAAACATTCCTGGGAGAGGTTTCAACCAGTGAGCATTTCTTTCCCAGTGAGATCAATGTCTTCCAACCTGTTGCAATGGGGAGTGTTTTGGTTGGGTTTTTGTTTGGTTTGTTTGTTTTCCATTTGCACTGACAAATCACAGCTACTGGTGCTTCCTTCCTTCCTTCCCAGGCAAAAAAATAAAAAAGAAATGCCCTAACCTTTCTCAGAATTTATTTAGCCAAAAGGTTCAAATTTTCCAATGAAATAGAATGGATTTCATGCTAAAACAAATGTTCATTCACTTACCTTTGCTCATGCTTGTTTCCACAGTCATTTCTTTGTCAGAAAGACATTAAAATAAAATTAATATTTTAAATTACTTATATATTTATACATAGATATGTTTACATTTGCAGACACACATGAGTTCAGATATGAGGTTAAAAAGTTTTTCAATTGCAGACATAACATACATTGGTAAAATTGCCCAAATAAGCACCAATAACAAAGTTAGCAAGTCCTTGCTGGGAATAACCTTAAACAACACTGCTTTAATCATTTGGTGGTCAACCTTGGAGTGAGACAGAGAGCATTATGTATTTCCCCCACAGCTATGGAGTCATTTGTCGTGTACATTATGAGTATATGGAAAGGACATTCTTTAAACAAAGGCAGCAGGAAATAAAGTCATCTTCAATCACTGTCATGAATATTCTGCTTAATTGCTGATGGCTTTTTTCACTGCATTGCAATACCCAGTCTGCTGTCTTGCTGTCTTGCAGCAAGGCATTGCAACATATCAAAAGCTACAGTGGGCTCTCACCCTTCTCCAGAGGTCCAGAATCAAGAGAAAACCTGCCAGTTCAGACCAGGAACTGCCACGAGGCGATGATGGTGCTGCAGGAGGAAACAGATTTCTCCCTGAGAAGGCACACGACAAATACCCTTCCCACTCACTCTCCCGTGATTGAAATGACACATTGCTCCATCTTTCTCTTACACATGACTCTCACAATCACAGCTCATTATCCTTGACCTGTCCTTAATGCTGTAGTAAGGGCTGAATAGACTTTTTGACTGCCCTGTTCCCACAGAAAACTTCTGCTTTTCCTGTCAGAAGCCATATAGTTTTTTTAAGTGTCTACCTTGACAATTCCAAGAGACCTTGGCTGTATTAGCAAAGAGTTCTGCTCTTTTAAAAGAAATATCCTCTAGCCTTGACAAGAAGTAAATAGATCACCTAAAGCTACCTCTGCTTTTCTCCTGTGTTGGACATCCAAAGGGAGATTCACAGTCTGTGGCTGGTTGGCTGTGGAAGAAATGGTAATTCTGTCCTAATGAGGATAACAGGCAATTCTGGAGGGAATCCAGTCTACAGGGAGAAGGAATCAAATTCAAAGACCATGCTGTTGTTGGTTGCCACATGCTATGGTTTTCCTATTTTAGAAAATTCCACATTCCTTTGAAGAACTCACAGAAACATCTGTGGATTTGTGGGTTGATCCTTGTTAAATGTTAACTACTTTATGCCACAGAGCAGGATCTCTCACCAGAGCCTGTCATCTATTTGAACAAAATACTGCAAAAGAAGCAGGGTAAGTTTTGAAAAGATGTCTATCCAAAACTTAGTAAACATAAATAATATATTTCTTCCTGGCCTTGGTCTGCTTTAACACAGCAGCAAAATAGCAGCCTTGCCATTGCTGCTGAGTGCAGCTAATGGTCTTTTTTGTCTAAATTACAGTTGGTCCCTCTAAAAGTGTGTTTCCTGCCAAGTGTGGTTTCACAAAATGCTGAGTCAGAGGAGCTGGGGGAGGAACCAAGAGCAGCAGCGGCAGCTGGATCCGGGCCCATGGCATTAGTGGCACTTCTAAAAGAAGATTAGGAAACAAGAATGTTCCTGGGGAAAAGGTGCTAAACTGGAAGGCAAATAAACTGTAAGGCAGGGTAAATTACAGTGTGTCATTTCCCAGAAGGGAATGCCATACCATAGTTGCTTGATGACATATAGACTAATGCCTTAATATTTTGGAGTTGGTCCTTTAAAATATTCATGTGCTTCCTATTGGACTAAAGATTCAGATGCAGGTCACCATGCTTCAGCACAGTGGTCTGCCCCAGGAAATTTGAGGCAATTTGCCTTAGTTCAGGGTTCTACAAGAGAGACTTAAGCAAGGCAGCTCACTTTATTTTTGCTTGAGGACACACACATTTGCTGCTATTGTGCTCCAGTTGATAAGCTGTGGGCTGTTAACTCACACACTGTTAGTACCCAGTGAACACCAAGTCTTGTGAGGGTGTTGGCCAACCTTCTGTCTTCCAGCTAGGATAAGAAGCTGGACCTCATCTACACAGACTTGCCCTCAGCACTTTCACCCAGAACCATCTCTGAAAGACAGAAGACAACAGGGGCACACAGGCAGCAATGGCAATGATGAGACGAGATGAAATATTATTTTCTTTTTGCATTTCATGTCTGAAAATGGAAATAGGAAAAAGGTAAAGTGAGTTGGTGTGAAAAGTAGTTTAAGCAACTCTCAACTCCTCTGGCCACTTGTCCTTGTTCCCTGTCACCCTCAGGTGTTGTGACTGCACAGCATAAGTGGGAGCACAGAATGAACAACATAAGGGATTACATGCATTTGCAAATTAACTCCCCCCAAAACTCCTTGTTTTCCACCCAGAAAAGTAATTTAGCTCCATGTACAAACTCCAGGATCAGTGTAACAAATAGGGCAAGAACAAGTGACTGCAGGACTGTTTCAGTCAGCATAACAATGGAAAAATGTCCATGTAATCACAACCACCTTCTTAACTTTCAATGTCTTTTCCTGCTACAAGCTCTAATCCTAGCAACCCATGACCTGATCTTGTTTCCACTTCAATAAACTGTAAATTTGCCATTAACCTTGATATAAGTAAGATTGATTATTGATATGTAAAGGATATGATTTTCCACATTTCTTCAAAGGTAGCATCAAGGAGTCCATTGGCATAACTGAGTCCAGTGCCCCTCACCGGCTGCCCTGTAGCAGATACTTGGTCCCCGACAAATCTGAGGCCAAACTCCACAAGCCCACCTGTACCCCACAGAAGGGTTCCCAACACCACAGCACCAGAGAGCAAGGACTCAGCAGACTGCAGGTGATCCCACAGAGGGACACATTACTCTTCTGCAATGTGACCCTTGTTTTAGGGCAGAAGGTGTGTCTGTCCCATGCGCAGGGTGGGGTTCCACAGCAACTACTGCCAAGTGAGGGCTGTTCTGCCCAAATCCCTCCACAAAAGAAGGGCCACAGAAGGAGGAAGGGAAAGACCACATCAGCAATCACAGAGAGAGCCTTCATTTGCAGTGAAACCACATGTGTAGGCTACCAAGTTCAAAGCAAATAAGTACAAACTTGCTTGCAGCTTCACCACAGGCAAGGCGCCATGGCCAAGAGGCCTGAGCCTGGATTAGCCCTGCAACCTAACACAACTGCTGAGCAAATTCTTTGCCCAAAGCAATGAAGAGGCACAAGTGCCCCTTATTGGTCCTTTTCATCTCCATGAAGAAAGTAATCACAGCAAGACTTCCTTTTTACCCTGGTCCCTATTGCCTCCTGACCTGTTTCTCAACTTTGAAAGGGGTTAGAGGTTTTAGAGCAACCTGCTCTTTCTGTTTCTTCTTTTTTTTCTCTTGTTGCTCATACTTTAAATGGATTGTTGATGCAGATAAGCAATACAAAGGGAGAAGGCACTCCTTATGTTCTGTTATGCATTTTATGTTCTTTTCAAACACCATTTGTGGAACAGAATCACCAACGCTAACCTGGAGAGATGGTTTGAGCAGCCACTAATAGACTGATACAGTGAAGGTTCAGCTGTGATGTTGATGGGTCCCTTTTGGAGCCAGTTATACAATGAAATAATAATCATAACAATTTCTATAACTATTTCTGTATCATACCTTTTCTTTCAGAGTTGCTAGGTTTTGGTTGGGCTGCTTTTTTTTTAGGAGATATATTTGTTGCATTTAGCTGACTCTTGGCCCAGATTTTCACTTGTAAAGAATGTCACAATCTAACAGCCTAAATTTATTCATGCTTGGTTTATTTATTTTCTCTAAGGAGACATTTTGCATATCAATGGAAAATACGAGGGTGTTTCCCTCAAACCATTTATTAGAGTAACTGTTAAAGAACACTGTTCACAGTGCACTGAGGAAGCAAATGATACAGACCTTTTGGGCATTCAAATGTCAGGCTGGACATTTGTGTGCTGCAGGAGCAACCTGTGGGCTTTCTGCCGATGGCTCAGCTCTATTTTACATGTACTTTTTATCACTACATTTTATTGTTGTTCACAGTAGCTCACTTATACATTACTTTTCATTCCTTAATATTTTTCCAGATGAAAATCTGCCTGAAGCATTTCATGTACTGATAGATGTTCTCCTTTCTTTTGCTTTAAGTTTTATTTCACTTTTTTCTAAGAAAACTAGACGAAACTGGTAAGCTGGGGTATATAAGGACAACAGAGATACAAACATCTAGAGAGAGAAGTGGGACTATGGCTCAGGAAGGGAATTCAAGCTTGTACAAACACCAAGTGAAGCGGCCTCGGAGAGTCCCTCCAAGATGTAACTGCTTAGTAAGCCACTTTGCCTGCTGCTGGCTCCTTTACTTCTCTTTCCTGTGCATTTCTAAGGGCTCTTCCCTCATTTTTCCTCATATCCTATCACGACAGAAAGGTAACAAGGTGCAGGGTCTCCAAAGTGAACAGACAGATATGTGCTGCTTCACAGCTGTCAATTTTGTTTGGATTGTGTTTTTCTCTTCTGTCCAATTTTCAGCCCTAGCTGCTGAAACAGTTCAGAGGAGCTGAACTGTGCACTACTCTGTTAACAGGGTGCAAGTGCTAAGAGGAAAACACCCATTTTTCTGCTTCCAAGACTGGAAGGCACATTGATTATCATGCAACCAGCACACTGCTACTCACAGAAACCAGTTACAAATGAACTTTAAATCTCTTTGCTGTCTCACTTCTTCTAGAAGTGTTAAAGATGTAGCAGTGTAAGGCCTGGATTATGCAGAGACACTCGGAAAAGTTATGGCCTCCTAATAGCCCATTTAACATGTTAAATGAGCATAAATAAATGTAGGATTGTGTGTTTCACAAGATTTAATTTTATGCTAGTTTCTGTTCTCATTGATTTTCCCCTTTTCTCTCCTTGAGGAGCACCCATAGAGTGAAACCCTGTAGGCTGAACTCCACATCCTCATAAGGATGCACAAGGACAGTTGACTGCTTAAGCCCTTACATTTTCAGCTTAAAGGGAAAGCAGGACTAGCATACCAATGTAAATGGACATTATTCAAAGCAGCTGCCTCTGGGCATAGCAATCCTGCCTCTCTGCAATGAGCTCACTCATTAGCTGGCAGGTAGGAAGGGGTGAGGTTGGGAGGAGAGGGCTGACAGGTAACTATTGACAGGTGGGGATGTCTCCCATGTGCTCTTTTGGGATGCTGGTGAGGCTACTGCTTCAGAGGCACTTGAACCTTAAAATGTCAGAGTTTTGTCTCATCTCATCTGTGGACTGGTTGGCACCTCTGGTAATTTTCAGTTAGTAAGAGCAGATAAGGGGAAGAAGCACAAAAGATCTATTTTGAAAAATAAATGTGGAGTTTTAGTCAGAAGGAAGGATTTGAGTAATCATATACTTGTACAATTTTGAGATGGCTGGGCTTGATGCAGGGTCAGAGATCATACTCCCTATGGCATCTCATGATGGTTCAATATTGGCCAAAAATGGTTTGGTTTCTTTGCTTGTTTGGGTTTGGTTTTGTTTTTTCTTTTTCCTAAGTAACTCAAGAATTTCCCTGGACTGACAAATATATGGGTTTGGCTTGTATCTC